GGCGGGGGCCGCGGCGTCGGCGAGTTGGACGTCGCCGTGGGCCCAGACGCTGACGCGGCCGCGAGAGTCTGCCACAAAAAGTAGGTCCAGGCTCCCAGGCTCGGCCGGCCACGCATCGCCGCCGCCAGCGGGCCCGTCCAGCCCCTGCTGCTCCGCCGCCGACTGCTGGAGTATCCATGAGTAGGGGTCCCCCGCTGCGGCCGCGCCACCGGCGGCGGCGGCCCCGCCGGCACCCGGCGCCTGGCCCTGCTGCTGTTGCGCCGCGCCGCCGGCGCCGGCGCCGCCGGTGGCGTCGGGCGGCCAGGGGCCGGGCGGGAGGAACAGCTGCTTGTGGCGCAGCGGCGGCTGCGGCCTGGCGCCCCAACTGCCGGCCTCCTCCTCCCTGTCCTCAAAATCAAGGTCGGCGTCCTCATCTTCCTCCTTCCCCTCGCCCTCAAAATCACTGCTATGCTGCTGGCGCCCAGCCCGCGGCCTGTGCTTGCCGCCTCCGCCGGCCGTAGGGGGTGGTGGCGCCTCCTCCAGCCACGCCAGCTGTGCCACTGCCGCGTAGTGCGCCTTGCGACGCCCGCGGACCTCCCCGCTCTCGACGTCATATAGGGAGACGCTGCCGTCCTTGTGGCCCGCAGCGAGCAGCTTCCCGTCGGGCCGCCAGGCGACCGCCGTGATCTGGGAGTCGGGGACGGCGGCCCACAGCAGCTGCCAGTTTAATCGGTGGAGGTGCAGCTGCCCGTCGGCGCTGACGGCCGCGCAGAGGTCCATGGTGGGGCACCAGCAGCAGAGGGAGACCTCGGACGCGAGCGGCATGTCCTGGAGCTGCGTGAAGCAGCGGTCCGCGGCGGCGGCGCCGCCGCCACCGGCACGGGCGCCGTCGCTGGCGTCGCCGTCCATCGAGGACATTGTGGCAGCAGCGGAAGCGCGCTGTCACGGCGAGGCGCCGTGGCTCGCCGCTTCGCCGCTGGATCTTCAAATGAGCAATGAGATGGGGTTTGTATAGATGATAGAAACGAAGTAGCTGAGTATATGCGCATGTGCAGCCACCATGCAAGAAAAGCGCGGGCTAGATCACACAGATCACAGCTAATGACAGGTGTCGCCTCGTCATCAATCAATTTTGTGAAGTTGCAAGCAGCCTCAGGTCAAGTCATAAGCACAGGGTATCTGAAATCCGATCGCTCGCACAGTCACCGTTGCAGTAACGTGTCGCTTCGGTCAGCGGCGAATAGTGCTTCAAACAGCTTACATCACAAAATTGGAACCCCGTAGTAGAAGATCCAGCACAAAACCGGCCAGTCGCCGCGGTGCGGCTGCACTGCGCACTTGCACCGTGGCGACGTGGCCGCGCCTGGCATAGGCTATGCTCAAGGCCGCCGAAACCCATGCCCAACCAGATGCCACGACCCTCGAGCGAACCGCATGCGTCTACACGTCCTGCTACTGTGAAGAGAACGCGCTGCTGCTCAGCAGGCGCCTGGTGGACAGCGGCGTCGTGCCTGCGCCAGAGTGCCTGTACGTCCTATTTGTGACCAACCGCCTGCGGCAGGTGCGTGCTGTCCTCAATCTAATCAGCATCGCACTTGATAACGCGTGCGTCGTGCATGCATGCAAATCCAGACAATGCTGCAGCCCTAGAACCCCACTCAAGGCGTGGGTGGGCCACCCACACCTCACGTGCCCGCAAACCCGGACGCCAGACGCCGCTATGGTGCCAGCGCGCTGCCAGCGACGAGGACGGCCTTGTGGTCTGGGACTACCACGTATTCGTGATCGAGGCCGCCCACGGCCGGCTGCGGCGCGCGCGCGTGTGGGACCTCGACACCCGCCTGCCGTTCCCCTGCAGCCTCGACGATTACACGCACGCGGCGCTGCGGCCCGTGCGGGCGCCGTACGGCAGGCAGGCGGTCGGCGGCGGGCGGCAGCCTCCAGTGCTGCTTTGGGGGGAGAGAAGAGCTTTGGGCGCGGCTGACTGAGTGCAGCACGTGCATGCGCTTGGTGGGGTTCATAACAACGTTCGTGAGCAGCATCGCAAAAGTTCATGTAGCTTCACGGCCGAGCCTGCCGAAAGGCTTTCGTTACGCTATGCGAACATAGGACCCTGCCTCTCATCCCGCTCAGGGTCTACCGAGTCGTGCCCGCGGCGGACCTGTGGCGCCACTTTGCCAGCGACCGCTCCCACATGCGGCTGCCCGAGGGCGGCTGGTCGGCGGCGCCACCGCCGTACCCCTGCCTGGGCCCGCAGGACGGCGTCCGCGCTGTCACCCTGCAGCAGTACCTCGACGTGCGCGAGGCGTACGAAGGGCACTCGCAGGAGCCCGGTGGGCCCGCAGGGTCAGGCAGCAGCGATGAGGACGGCATCTTGGGTAGCGCTGGCGGCGGCGGGCGCAGTGGCAGCGCTGGGCGGGGCGGCGGCAAGGAGCGCGGCGAAGGGTCAGCGCCGGCGGAGCTGGGCAGGGTGATGCACGAGGCAGAAATGCTTGAATTCTTTGGGGCTTCATGAGCTGCGTGGGCCTGGATTGTGGGAGTGGGGCCGGCAGGGGACAGCCAAGCTGCTGCCACCTTGGCTTGACCCTTAAAACAAGACCTTTCACCTTTGACTTATTTTTGAGACGGCGTGTGCATATCGAGGTCATTTACGTACGCACGGCTGCTGTGCATTGCAAGCCTCAGACTTCGCAAAACTCCTTGAGTTGGCTGGAAGAGAACCCCAGCCACGTCACTTTCGACAAGCGACAGACAAGCACACCCCACAGTGTATCATCTGACGCCGGGGGAATCGGAACGCGCAGGGATAAACCATTCGCTTTGAGCACGTTGCTGCTTGCTGCGTGTGCCGTGTACAGCATCTCCGGTGGCCAGGCGACACACAGCACTCAGGTCCTCATCATTGCATACATGATATGACGGAGATTACTTGTATACCACAGTCTCAACACTTGCAGCTGCAGTTCAGCAACTAAACTCGACCATGGCAGCCATCCACATCCTGCCCAGAACTTCGCAGCGGCTCATGTCGTCAGCGTGCGTCGTACGGGAGCGCAAACAACAGCGGCACGGCAGCAGTCCTCCATGCAGCGATTACAGCTTTATGTTCGGTTGTAATCCGAATATCAACTTTGTTATTGAGCAGTGCAACTGTGGTCGCAACGCAGATCTGTAATCTAGGCGGGCCGCTGGGCGGCACCTGAGTGTCCTGCCAGGCGCGTTGCCCTCGAAAACAAGGCAGAGTTTGCCGCCGATTTCTCACAGCAGCAGCCGTGAGCATGACGGCTCCACCCGAGCAAAGCGCAGAGCAGCGCCGCGCTGCAGAGGCCCCGCAGGACGTTGCCGCTGAGCTGCGGGCCTGGCAGGTGCGGCACAACGGGCATGAGGCGATGGTGCTCGGGGCGTCTGGTGCTTGCCCTGGCAACGCCCTCTGCCACAGCTGCCTTGGAACAGGCTTGCTATGCCCTGACGTGGGCTGCGGCGGCAGCAGTCCGAGGCTTGCCACGCCCACTTGACAGACCGTGCCCCGCACACGACGCCTCGCAGGAAGCCCTTTCTGCGCACCGAGCCGGTGCAGGTGCGCCCCCCGAGGCCACGTGGGAAGCCAGCCTGCCGCCAGTCAGGCACCAGGCGAAGCAGCAGCGGCCGCAGGCGCCGCCGAGCCACGCCGAGGCGCCTCGCGCGCTGCGCGCGGGCGGCGACGACCGCCGACGCGCAGCGGACCAGCTGCTCGGCGGCGAGGGCGGCGGCCCCGGGCTCCTGGGACCCGGCGGCCTGCGCCTGCCCGGCGGCAGCGCCGCCGCCGAGGGCCGGCCTTGGGTCCGGGAGGTCGGTCCCGCGTCGGCAGGGCAGCCGCAGGGGCTCGACCCAGCTGATGAGCCCGAGGGCCCGCACCTGGCGCATGCATCAGCGCGCACGCGGGACCTGCTGCGGCGTTCTAAGGGCTTGCCCAAGGAGGAGCTTCTGGACCTGGCGGAGGACGCCCGCCTGCGGGGCAATGAGGCGTTCAAGTGCGCCACCGCCGCATGCGGGCGATGGGGTGCTGAGGGGGGTCACGCGGCATGGCATGCATGGCTGCATGGGGGGCCATGCCATGTCAGCGTGCGGGGGCGCGTCAGCATGAGGTGTCATGTGAACATGAGGGGCGCTGCTGGCGGCGCACTGCATGCTGGCGGCAGCTGCCTGCGCATTGGCGCATGCGGCGCGCGTCGTCGTGGCGCATGCGGCGCATGCGGTGGGGTGCCCCGCCATGCATGAGGACCGCGGCTCTGCGCATGTCACTGCTGCATGCTGACAGGATTCAGCGATCGCGGCTCACGGCCCATGCCTTCCCTCCCACCGTGCCCCGAAATTTGAAAGCCCACTCCTTTACATCCGTCCTGTGCCCCAGGGCTGGGGACGTGCGCGACGCCGTTGACGCCTACACGCTGGCGCTCAACCTGGCGCCCTCAGACGCGCGCCTCTTCGCCAACCGCGCGGCCGCGTTCATGCGCCTCAAGCGCTGGCCCGACATGCTCGCGGACGCAGACGGCGCGCTGGCGCTCGAGCCTGCAAACGTAAAGGCGCTGCTGCGGCGCGCAGAGGCGCTGCGCAACATGGGGCTGCGACACCAGGCGCTGGAGGTGCGCTGTATGCCGCCGCTGCTGACTGATGTTATTTCTTATGAGGATGGCTGTGCATGTCTGCTGAGGCCTTGACACTGTCATGCGCGCTGACCAGGTTGCTGCCGTGTTTGCATTCAGATAAAATATGGTTTATCACTGCATAGAAGCATGGGACTTTGTGAGGCCGCGCCATGGCCGCTTTCAGGGGTGCTGGTCAACGCTGGTCAAGCATTGCCGTCTGCATCAAACCCCTTCAGGCCTTGGATGAGGTGGACAGGCTCCAGCCAGGCGAGCGCGACACCCAGCTGATGCGGCGGCAGCTTGCACAGGGGGTGGGGGCGAGTGCCCCCGCAAACGGCCGTCCTACGGCCGGCCGCGGTGAAGGCAGCGCACGCGAAGCCGCTGTTCGGCCGCTCGCATCGCGGCGGCTGGTCAACGGCGCGGCTGCAGGCCAAGCAAACGAGCAGCAGCGGCTTGAGCAGCAGCAGCAGCAGCAGCAGCAGCAGTCGTCCGGGATGCGGCGCATACCCGTCGTAGAAGGGCCCGACAGCGAGGACGATGACGAGGAGTGGGAAGACGCAGAGGCAGCACAATACGGCCAGGCGCAGAGCGGGGCGGGGCCACAGCCGCGATCACCGGCCCAGGGCAAAGGGGAGCAGGGGGGTGGCTCTGCGGTTTTGCAGTCGCCCTCTCGAGCATCTCCCACAGCCCAAATTGCCAAGGCGACCTCGCCGCGGCCCGACGCTCCGCAGGCTGCGCGCACAGCGTCACCGCAGCAGCAGCAGGCCAGGGCGGAGGCGGGCGCCGCGGCCGCAGAGGCCGCGGCGCGCGCCGCGGCGGCGCGCACCGAGCAGCTCAAGGCGCTGGCGGAGGACGCGGCCGTGGCAGCGGCGGCCGCGCAGGCGGACGCGGACGCAGGTCTTGCACAGGTGTTTGGCGGCCTTCTGCTGAGCTGCGAGGGCGGCGCGCTGTTTGACGCGGCGGGGGCCGCCGGGGCGAGCTTCAAGGACATTGTGAAGGAGCTGAGGGCGCGCGGCTTGGACGAGCTGGCACAAGGTGGGGGCGCTGCTGCCGCTATTTCTGCCGCTGCTGCTGCCGCTGCTGCTATTGATGCTGCTTTCGCTGGGCAGGGACCGCGGAGCTGAGGGTGTGGGCGCGCAGGGCTGCACATTGATAGTGTGGCTACCTAGGGGGCAATGGCCTCATTGGCAGATGCTGCCCATCCAGGGGGCCGCATGCAATCGGATCACTCAAGATCAACAATATGCCCGTGCAACCGGCCGCACCCGCTGCCGCAGGCCGCGCTGCCGCCGCCGAGCGCCTGCTCAGCTGCGCCCTGCAGATTGCGCCCGACTCTGCACCCCTGTACTGCAGCCGCGCGGTCGCCCATCTGAGGGTGCGGGGCTGGCCTAACACCCCTTGGGCAGCGCCTGCAATTGTGCCAGCCCGACGTCGTCGGTTGCCGGCCTGTCTGTCTGTCAGACTGGCTTTCCGTAGGTTCGCGTGCTGGTTTGTTGCCTGTGGCTTGATCACGGCAGCTGCTGTCAGCTGCAAGACAGCAAGGCCCAGCTCGTAATCAGCCGTGGTCAAGAGTTCCACTGCCAGCGGTCAAACCCGCTTTCCCCTCGCGCTCTGCCCCTCACATGTCGAAGACCCTACTCACCACCCCACCCCCAACCCCACCCGCCGCGCAGCTAGCGCGATTCCACAAGGCGGCATGCGACGCGGCCGCGGCGCTGGCGCACGGCGGGGCAGACGAGCGGGTCGCTGCGCTGCACAGCAGGGGGATGGCGAAGCGCGGCCTAGGAGACCTGAGGGTGAGCCTTCAGGGGAGCAAGCAGGCTTATGATGGGGGCTTTGAGGGGCTGTGCAACGCAATGACAGCTGTTCGGCTGCTTTGACCTGCAGCAGGTGGTCATGCGGCGCAGCGGCCGGGGGTCTTGCTGTGCTGCCGATTGGTTGCGCTGTGCTGTGCTGGCACAGCAGGGCACCGGTAGCATTGGCAGCCGCATATGGTGGTTTCAAGCGAAGACATTATCCAAAACGACGACAGCCCCGTGCGCTGTCTCATGTATGGCCGTGTGGCACGAGCCCCGTTGCTCACCACCTGTTGCAGCGCCCATGCGAACACAAATATGCACACAAGCGTGCACACACACGCATGCACGCACACAGGCACAGGCACCCCCAAACAAAGTCGCACGCATTCTCACATGGGTGAATGGGTGAATGCTCGCCAAACACGCAACCAACCAATTGCCGACCCTCCCTGGCCCCACCTCCCCCTCGGCCCCCC